CAGCTGGTCGATGGTGGTTTGCCCTGCAGAGGGAAGCGTGTGGGCTTCCCGCCACCCAGGCAGTCAATCGCTGCTTCATTCCAGCGTGGTCCTTCAGGAAAGAGGCGCTCGGGTGTATTAAAAGAAATAGCTATAGCAATCTTTGGGCCATGTGGATGCAGGGCCTTTGAAATCCAGGAAGCTGCCGTAGGCTTTCCCCCAAACCTCAGCCTGCCTGGGTTCACCTTTCTTATCAACCATTGCAGGTGATGCTCACTAAAAAGCGAGATGCTAATGAATGCAGCAGCCAACCCCAGCCCCACTGCTGCCTGCAATTGGCACTCACAGTTACAAGGATCCCTCAAAGGGATGAGATGAATTCTTGGTAGCAGCATCCACCACAGAGGAAAGTCCAGAGACTTTCCAAACTGTGGAGGGAGATGTTCAGGAGCCTCTAAAGCACCTTGCAATGTTCCCTGCACCCTGGGGCTCAGCCTGCCACTGCCCCATCGTGCCCATGTAGCCTTAGCAGTGCCAGAGCTGCCCCAGGCTGGAGGGCAGTCTCTGTCCCTCTTGGGCTGTGAGCATGGGGCTGGGCACCATGTGAGCATGAGCATGAGCACCATGCCCCAGGCACCAGGGAACCCCCGGTAGGGGTCCCAAGTCAGGCTCTTAGGTCAAAACCATCTGCTAATAGCAAGTACTTCATTAGCATGGCATTGCCATGGCTGGCAATGTCAGCCACATGGCTTTGGGGACCTTCCCAGTGCCCCTTGCCGAGAGCAAAACCCACTGTGCCCTGGAAAAGCATCGTCCTTCTAGATATGTTCCTGCAGGGAGTTGTATGGGGCTGCCAGGCTGTAGGAGGGAGCTGTGGGGTGGCCCAGGGCCCCAGCAACCCCTATGGCCCCCCAAATCTCCCTGGAGGAGCTGTGCAGACCATTTGGGCAGGAGGAGCAGGCTGAGGCCCTGTGTGCTCTGCCTTTCTTCCCAGGGATCAATAGCTGGGCTGTGGGAGAGGCATCCTCAGAGGGGAAGAGCTGCGCTTTGTTCCACAAAGGTGACAATTAGAAACAGCCTCATTAGCAGAAGTGGCTTTGGGCTGCAGCAGGGGCTGGGGGCTGCGCACAGTGCTGCTCTGTGTTTAGAGGGTACTGGCTCTACCGTGGCCTGTGCCCAGAGTGGTGGGCGATGCCCATGAATATGCAAATCCCTGTGCTAGAGGGTCACAAATAACCCACCCCCCCAAGGTGAGAAATTCAGGCAGTCCTGGGACTCAGGCATTTGGGGGGAGCTTTAGGGTTGGAGGACATCCACCCTTTAGGGTCCCACCCAGCCCGCGAGCCTTGGAGCAGGGCTGAGGCCACAGCACTGGCTACCTGCAGCCCAGCATGGTACACGGCGACTCTGCCCCCTGCTCCTTGGGGCTGAGAGGGGGCTCCCCTGAAACAGAAGGTTCTGTCCCCTTGGGTGCCAGGGATGTGCCCATTAGTGAGGGCATCTGTCCCCATGGGAGCCCCCTGTGCCTATGTACATGTGCACGTGTGAGTGATGGCATGTGTGTGCGTGTGTGCTCACACACATATGTGTGAGTGTGGCTGTGTGTGAGCGTGCATGCATGAGTGTAAGTTTGCACGAGGGAGCACAAGTGATCTGTGTGTATGTGTGGCGACTTAGCTGCTTGCATGTATCCGTGCTTTCCCATATGCACCTATATACACATCTGTGAGGACCCATCTGTGTGCCTGTGTCTCCCTTCCAGCTCCAGCTGGGTCATCCGTGCCCTTTGTGGGTGCTGCCTGGGTGCCAGGCTGGCCCAGCACCTCTTGCATCTCATCTTGTGCAACCTCACAGCCCTATGACCATGGTCTTAGCAGCCCCACAGCCATGCCCCTTGCCCCATGCCTGGCACAGGCAGCCTAACGGGGTCCCCCACCCATGGCTGAGCTGCTGCTGGGCAGCTTGTGGGGCCAAGCAGCCTCACGGCCTGGCTGGATTTGGTGCTCAATCTGCTCCAGTCCATGCTTGAGGGTTTTGGTGGGTACAGGGCACCTGTTTGCACCCCAGAGCCCCCAGAAACTGGGGTGACCCTGTGCTGGAGGCAAAGGTGAGGCAGGCTGTGAAACCTCAGGCACTATAGCTGCTACCCCAGGGTGTCACAGGCTGTGAGGGTGTCCTGCACCCCCAAACTGAACCCAGTCTGGACACTGGAGCTTGGTGGGTAGCACCATGTCATGCATACCACCCTCAACACCAGTTTGGTACAGCAGTTCATTTCCTTTAATAGATACAAAGTCACACGGCCGCAGTGAGAGTGCCAGGGGGAGCCCAGTGGCACCAAGCCCTGGCACCCCATGCTGAGGTAGAGGTGAGCTCACCTGCTTTGGCACCCAGGGATACGAGCAGGTGGGGGAGGTGCCCGCCCAGCCCCAGTGAGGTAGTTTGGAGTGCCTGGCACAGTGCCCTCTGTCTCCCTGCCCCCTGACTGGGGACCCCAGCATCCGGGTGGTCTTTGGTGGTGGGGGACACTGCTGGGCCTCCCTGCCCTGCCCCCACCAACAAGCTCCTCCCAGTGCACAAACCCCACCCCTTGGCATTAAGCCCCACCCCACCTAATAACCTGTCACATCTCACCCCCACCAGTCCCACCAGTTTCCCCAGTATCTGCCCCTACCGGGTGATCCCCCTGAGCTGGGGACCTGAGGTGCCCTCAGCACAGGGTGGCTGGGGGGCACCCAGGACCCTGGGGGTGTCTCAGGGCAGGGGCAGTAAGCCCAGGCAGCACAGAAGAGCTGCATGGGGGGGTCTGCAGTGTATAGGGTCTGCAGTGTATAGGGACTACAGTCTATAGGGGCTGCACTATGTAGGGGCCACAGCATTTGCACTGAGGGTGTGCAAGGGGATGTATATGTGGGCACCAAGGGTGTGTATGGGGAATGCAGTGTGTGCATTAGGGGTATGTATAGGGAATGCAGTAGGGGATGCAGCACATGCACTGAGAGTGTGTATAGGGAATGCAGCGTGCATAGAGATGTGTATAGGGGAGGCAGTGTCTAAGAGATGCAATGTGTGCATTGAGAGTGTGGCAATGTGGAGGATGCAGTGTGTGCATCGAGGTGTGTACAGGGGCTGCAGTGTGTAGGGGATGCAGCATACAGGGCCTGGGGGTGCCCCAGGCAGCAGGGCAGGCAGGAGCTGAAAGGGGGGGTCACCTGGGGCAGTGCCTGGGAAGGACAGTGCATGTGTCAGAGGGCATGCACAGGGAAGGGGCCCCATGCACGGGGGTAAGGGACAAAAGGGGACACATGGGTGCTCACAGCCTTGCACGGACACAGCTCAGTATTGCAGCAAGAGGCACCTTTGTGTCCCTCATCCCACCTTGGTGGCCCAGCTGGGTCCCACGGCTCAGCCCTCCAGGGACACCCAGCTGCTTTGGGGGGGGATCTCCCCTACGGCGGGGCACTGGCAGGAGTGTGGCTGTGTGAGGGGTCTGGGAGCAGTGAGTTCAGGGCAGGCATGGGGTTTGGCCGGTTCTGGGTGCTCCTTTCACTGGGTGCTGGGGAGGTCAGGGGCCGGCGGGCAAAGAGGATGCCTGGGGAGCAAGAGCAAGGGGGTTAGGGCAAACCTAGGGTTGGGGGCTCTGCTCGCCTGGCCCCCAGCACCCAGGCTGGGGAGGGTGTGACCAGCACCCCTGGGGGCTCCAGCCCCCCCAGGCCACCCTCCCCATCACCCTCGGTGCCTCCTCCAGCCCAGCTGCTCTCACCCTCTGTGGGGCAGCCCGCAGGGTGGCCTGGGACCATTTGGCTGGCAGCCCCACGTGTTGATTAGCCCTGACCTTTCCAGCTTGTTAAATATTTACGCCCTGAAGGAAAAGCCATTGATTTTAATTGTGAGTGTCTCAGTGAGGCAGGCAGGGAGCTGGAGGACACAGGGTGAGCTGCTTAGCCAGGTAGGTGCATGCCAGCACCCTGAAGGAGCCTCTGCTCCAGCAAAGCACCACAACACCTTCCCCTGCTCCCAACGCCCCACTCTGCACCCAGCCAACCCCTGCACCTATCCAGAGACCCTCTGGGCACACCAGCATCGGGGTGACCCCAAATTCAAGCCCTGCCTGCAGGACCCTGTAGAGGGGGATGACCCCAGGTGCTTTTTTGCACCTCAGCCTGAGTTCCTCTATCCATCCTCCACTTTGGCCCTCCTGGGGGCCAATTTCCAGCCTCGCCGACCCCCTCCTTCGCCTGCTCCCTCTCCCCAGGCTCTGGCACTTCATTACAATAGATTTTATAATAAAGACATCAGATTGAAGGAAGGACTTGCTGGCCAGGCAGTGGCTATAAGTTATTGGATTTCCCATCCACAATTACACAGGCCAAGCGGCCCTTCTATTTACCTGTGTAGAAAACTCCATTTATTTCTATTGACACGTTGATACTGCTAATGCTGTTGGTGGACAGGTTCAATGCGGTCTCCTGTCTGTCATCTGGGGAAAGGAAATACCAATATGAGCATTAAGAGAAACAGAAACAAGAACCTGCCCAAGAGAGAGAAGTGGGGCCTTGGCCTCTCTGGGCAACCCTGCTCCTCTCTGGCCACAGCAGCTCCCTCCTGGGGTGCCAAGGGATGGGGTGACCCAAGCTGGGGAGTTGCATCTCACTACCTCGGTTGGAGATCTTGACGTTCATGGGGAACTGGGAGGCCATGGCCAGGAGGTTGTGCTGCAGCGCGTGTTGCATCAGCTGCTGCTGCTCCTCCACCGTCAGGGGCCCCCGGGGGGTTCC